CATTGTGATTACAAGGTCATTCTTGCTCCAGAGTGGAGCCCCCTAGAGGGTAATGTGATGTGTCTCTTGTCAACACTAAGGATATTTTAGGCTCTCAAAAACATTAGATCAGTCAATTATCAAGGATATTTTCTTTGACCCAGTTTGCTTAAGTGATTTATATGGAACTTAAAAGTTTAGTGTCTAAAATTACTCCTGATATTGAATCTGTTTTTTAATTTGCTTTAGGTCCCATGGAACTCATTTAAATCAGAGCTTCCATTGACTTAAAGGCCTAGGTACCATGATGATTACTTTACAAACATAACAAAGACACACTACAGCTCTTGGGAAATGGACCATAGAGAAACCAGCAGGTAGGGTAGTGCTTGAATTTTTGTTTCCAAAGATGATGCATGTAATAATAAGATAAGGGTTAATAAGGATTGCTATCTTTTTCTGAATTTTTAAACTATGGAATTTGGCCAATGATGTCTGAACACTCTGTTCTTCCTTTATTATGCACTTGAAATCTTGAGAGAAAAAGTTCGATTTTGCCACGCCGAGAGCAGGAACGAGGTTCCCTGCTGTACCTTATGAATGATCACATTTCGAGTAGGTAAATTCCATTGCTTTTTTGCAAGCTAACCCCTAACATTTGCTTGTCCTGAAGCAAAAGTACAAATAGGTGCCCACATGATACAAGTCTAAATATTTAAAGTTATAAATCTAGTCAGTAAGATGCTAAATTATATATGTTCCATCTCCTGTATTAACAAATACAGCTTTGCAATGACTAGGAAGGCCAGGTTCAAGTTTTTCATTTCTGTCACTTTATATTTTCATGCAGGAATCTAATTCCCTACTATTGGCCTATACCTTTTTTCTTTCTGTCCAGAATCCATCTAGCACAAGGGAACTCGTATATATGTACTTGTGTGGTCCCTTCAGCCTGCATGGCCAACCTCCAGGTGTACCCCCAATCCCTGATAAAATGCCCCCTTTGGTCTCTCATAGGCCCAGGGGTATGCATGTGGGTAATGAGGTTCCCCTTAGAATCAGGATGGATCTAAGGAAGACCCCTGGAAATAATGTCAGAGCCATTTAGACAGGGAATTTGGGGGTCTGGGAGCCCAGAGAATGATCTCTATAAAAGAACATGGGTTTTCAGTAGGCAAACACAGGGGTCCTGGAAGGGTTGTGACAGGAAGACTGGTAAT